AACTGTACAGTTAAGACCCTCTCTATGTGCATTTAAAACAAAACCTATTTTAGAGCCCTTTGGGTCCCCAAACCCAACCTCTTCTCTCCATCCTCCCTCTGCCAGAAGTTTCTTCCATGGTACCTGCTCTCTGAGCTCCATCACTACAGCCTCCAGTCGCCCAAGCCACTTTTGCAGGGAGTGCCACTGCTCCTGGGAGCCACCAACAGGGGCTGAGAAGAGGGCAGGTGCCTGCTGCTGGTAAGCATGGATGTCAGCAGGCTGAGATAACTCCCTGGGGGCAGCCCCACCTAAAAGGCACAAGATTCCTGTGTGGGCCTAAGGACAAAGTACCATGGTTCTGTCTTCTGAACCATGCAGGGGAGGAGGGTCATCCTGTGCCCCCACTGTCTCCACCTACTCCCCACCATGCAGGGAAGGAGATATGACCTGTAGGGGTGTAGCAGTGAAAGCTGGGGGCAGGGCCATGGGAGGTGGAGGAAGCTCTGAGCAGACAAAAGTGGCCCAGACTGACTTTCCCTCCTTGTCAGGATGAGCCCCAGAGCCCTGATCTGCTGGGGGAACAGAACAACAACCAGACCAGGACCTCGCTGCAGCCTGCCCTGACTCCGTGAGGGTCTCCAGCCATGCAGGTCATGTCAGGATCATCCATCCGCTTTGGGACCAGGGACTTAGCCAGGGATGGCCAGGGGAGCTGATATGCCATGCTGGGAGGGCCCAGAAGTCAGTACAGGCTGACATGCAGGTGACACACACATGCAAGGTAAAGGTAGAGCTGCTTTAAAGTGCCCTGGCCAAGCTGAGAGTCTTTTCAGGGAGCACATGAGTAGCTCCCACTCTCTGACTGCCTGTCTACACCTGTCAAAATGGGCCCTGCTTTTAGAGAATGTGCTCAGGGAGAGAACTATTTCCTAAGCCTGACTATTGTTTTCCAGCCCTTGGGTAGAGGGTCCTGGTGACCTCCATATTGGGTGGGGTGGGCTCTAGAAAGCTGGACTTGGCTATATTTCCTGAAAGCTTTGGGGAAAGTGCCGACAATGCGCTCACTAGCTTTGAGCACACCAAGCCAAGTAAAGACAACCTGAACCTGGTTCTACATGACACTAGGTCCAGGGAAGGGGGAGGGGAGCCTCTGAACTCAGGCCTGGGTTGGGGAAGGCCACTTTCATCTTCTCATTCTGCAGCCAGGAAAGTAAAGGCAGGAGGGGACAGGCAGACAGGATTCCTCCCCCCACATGAGGTGGCCAGGGCAGGGAGGGCTTGGAGGAAGGGGAGGAGGAGCAAGGGATCTTTCCCACAGCAGCCGCTCATTAGTGAGGCCAAGCCAGGAGTGGCTAAAAGTCACCGGCTCCTTTCCCCACTGCCCTCCCTTCACTGTGGCCACCAAGGGAGTAGGGGATTCTAGTCTAAAACTAAATTTGCCCTCTTCCAAACCTGCCTTGCCCTGAGTTCCTGGGCATGGTTAATGCCATCCCACTGCCCAGTTAGCTCAGCCAGAAACCTAGGGCTTGCCCCCTCCATTGTACCCCTCCCACATCTCATTAGTCTCTGGTCTCCCCAGAGTTGTCCCCTAATCCACTCACCCTTTCACTTTCTCTCCCCATTCAGGAAGCTGAAGACATCCCCTTCCATCTGCCCTTTTCTCTCTGCCCACCTTTCTTTCTTTTTTTTTTTTTTTTTTCCCCAGTTTTTGGCCAAGGCTGGGTTTGAACCCTCCACCTCTGGCATATGGGGCTGGCACCCTACTCCCTTGAGCCACAGGCACCACCCCATCTCTGCCACCTTTCTAAATTACACAGCTCAAAGCTCCCAGGAGCAAGTCCCCATGCCACTGTCCACAAGCTTAGCCCACCTTCTTACCCTGCCCAGCTGCCCACCCACATCACGGGTTTAGCCCTCAGGAACAGTGGCAGTCTCTGTGCCTGTCCCCACCTCCATCCCTTGTGCAAGGCATCCTATCCCCTGGGACAGCACTGTCCTGGCACTGCTCCTGTGCCCAGCTCCTTCTCATCCACCAGGGAGGGCAGTCTCAGCACCTGAAACCCTACACCTAGGCTAGCCTCACTCTACTTTTTGTGATTCCCACCTCCCTGGCCACTCCTCCAGTCCTGCTTAAGCAGACACAAGAAGGGTATCAGGGAGAGGCTGGGAGCCTCTGGGTTCCCAAGGTGAAGATAGGGCCAGGTCATTGCCTGGGGAGATCCTCAGAGAGAGCTCCTAGGATTGGCACAAACCGGTAGCTCCCAAGGAGGCGCTCTGGCTCCCCTCTCAAGACTCCCTCTGCCCAGCCCCTAGACTGAGTCCTCAGTTCCTGACTGTCACTCTTGGGGAGGGTCAGCACTGAGACTGAAAGTCAGCTTTCAGAGTAGGCCTCCTTTTTTCCTCTCTTTCTTAAGACGAATAATTAACTTCAGACTCCCAGATGCCAGGGCAGCCTCTCCCCGTCCCGTCCCCCGACACTGCTGACTGCAGGCATCACAGGAGGCCCCTTCTCTCCAGCGCCTCCACCCTGCCTGCTTCACCTCCACCGACGGGGAGGACCGAGCTGGACTCGAGAGGTGCGCACACCCAAGGCGGGCGAGAAGTAGCCCCTGGCCCGCTCTGCCGCTCAGACTGGGTGAGGCCAGCAGGAGGTGGGGATGCGGCCTGCGGGCCCCCAGCCCTCAGCGCCCCAACTCACCTCCCGCGCCTGCAGCCAGCGCCAGGCTCCAGAGCAGGAGCTGGGACAGCAGGGCAGCCCTAGCCCCCGCCATGCTGGCTCCGCCTCACTGCCTGTCGTCCCAGCTCATAAGACGCTGGGGGAGGCGGGGTGGGGAGCCACAGGCCGCTCCCACCCAGTCTTTGTTCGGGGAGGGCTCAAACCCCTCTCCTCACCCCCTCCCCCACGGGCATGGCCACCGCCTGGGGCGCCCAGCCTGACCCCAGAGCACAGCCGCAGCCTTGCAGGAAGCTGGGCGGGGGTGGGCCCTTGGCTCCTGCATATGGTCCAGGAGGAAACCCTGAAAATAAACCCAAGTCCACCACTCTCCTGCCCTGGGAAAGCCTGTTCCTCTGCCCCTTTGGGTCACTGTGTGACCTTGGCATTCCCAGATCAGTATTTACTCCTCTCTCACCTGGAAAAAGAGAAGTAGGCTCGGCGCCTGTGGCTTAAGTGGCTAAGGCACCAGCCAGGTACACCCAAGGTGGCAAGTTCGAATCCAGCCCAGGCCCGCCAAACAATAATGATGGCTGCAACCAAAAAAAAAAAAAAAAAAATAGCCAGGCGTTGTGGCAGGCGCCTAGGGTCCCAGCTACTTGGGAGCCTGAGGCAGGAGACTCGCTTGAGCCCAGGAGTTGGAGGGTGCTGTGAGCTGTGATGCCACAGCACTCTACCCAGGGGTACAGCTGGAGGCTCCTGTCTCAAAAAAAAAAAAGAAAAGAAAAGAAAAAGAGAAGAAGACTGAACTGGGTTCAAATCCCTGCTTGGCCAATTCTATGTGGCCTTAGATCACTAACTTCTCTGTGCCTCGGTTTACCTGTCTGTAAACTGGGATCCCACGCTACTTTATAAACTTGCAGTGAGGATTAAATGAGATTATGTAGACAAAGAAGTGAGGGAACACAGGCACATGACAAGTACTCAGTAAATAATAAATAACAGTAAATGCTACTCCTGGTCTCTAACATCAAGAACACCCAGTGCACCCCTCTCTCTCCACCCCTACTCCTGCCCCAGCAGCTCCAGGCTTGACCCCAAAAACCAAGGTCTCCTTTCCCAGCTGGGCCGGGCTCCATTTTCCAGCTCCTGAGCTCAGGCCTGGCCTGTGGGTGAGCCTGGGTAGGGGGCAGTGATGGGCCGGAAGTGAGGAAAGCTGCCCACGTGGGCTGTAAGACTGGGACACTCCCCAGTGCAGCTGGGAAGCAGAGGGATGGGGCCCCAAGCTCACAGGCAAAGAGGGACATTGAGGGTGGGGCTGTGATTCCTGCCAAGACATTCTCCCTCTAGCCATAAAGACCAGAAGTCAGGAGGCACCCCTCCCCACAGCCAGGCAGGGACTGAAGGGCCCCCAGCCCACTCTCCAGGTATCTTAAGGCCCAGTGAAGAACAGTATGCCTTAGGGGGAGGGAAGCCTGTCATCAGCACTGAGCCCTAGCCCTGGTGGCCTGGAGCTGGGGTCACAGACAGCTGGAAGCCAGGGCCAGCCAGCCAGAAAAGGAACGAGGAAGTGGCGGTGCTATTCCCACCAGGTTTAAGGAAACTGGTTTCCTTTGCTGGGTGCCTGTTCTAAGACAGGTCCTCTGGGAGGCTGGGTGGAGAGGCTCTGGCGGGGCGCCAGCAGGGGCAGGTCCTGGGTCTGATGCTTATCCCTCTGTGACCTCAAGCAATCATTTCACTTTTGTGGCTGATTTTTCTTAGTTGTGACTGAAGTCTAATAGCACCTACCTCACAGATTGTGAAGGTTAGTGAATTAATACCAGGACAGCACTTGGCACGGAGCCTGGAGCTTCTGACTTCTCTTATTTAATTTCTAATCTTCACCCTAATAGGGGTGCCGGTATCCCCATTTCACAGAAAAGAATCTGAGAGAATTGGGGCAAACAGCTCCAAGTCACACTGGTAGGACACAGTTCCCTGACCCCACAGCACCTTGTCTAGCCCCTTGTGGCAGTCTCTGGCCCAGAGCCTTCCCCAGTCTGCCCTCCTGTCACAGAGGGAAGGGACACTGCCCTGAGACAGACAAGCCCCTCCAAACCCTGAGGGCACATTGGAGAGGAGAGGCTGTGCCATTCACTTCATTCTCAAGGCTGCTGTGTGTAGTGTCTGATTGTGCACCTGGGTATAGCACATTTGTGTGTCTGTGCATGTGTGTGAGTTTGGCCAGAGGTGGGGGCCGAGGATGGGGGAGGCACTTCTGGGATTCAGGGCACATTGACTTTGAAGGGGCTTCCAGGGACACTTTTGTCGCCCCACTTGACGATGAGGATGTAGTCCCCTTTCTCCTTGACTGTGTAGGTGACGTTGTACACCCGGTTCCCCATGTGCTTCACATACACTCCTCACATGGGGTCTTGGGTCCGTGCACGCCCACCATCATCATGTTGGTGCCTGGACAGGGAGGTAGAGGGACTCAGTCACTATAGGGCTGGCCCACACCCTGCTCCCCGATGGCTTCTTACTCCCACCCACCCCATCCCCACAGACGAGCCCACCCTGGTTCAGCGCCCTCCCCTCCCCTCCAGCCTGCCTGCTTTGCTGCAGTCCACAGTGAAGGAGTTCTTCTGGCCCACAAAAGCCTGGGACAGTCCAGGGCCCCGTGTCACCATCTTGCTGGCATCTGAGAAGAACTTGGGGATGGAACTGTAGCTGGAGCCCCGGCTCGAAGACGACTTCGTCACAGTCTCCACCAAAACTGTGGATGTTTCATGAAGGCTGTGGCCTCCAGACAGCCTGAGGGGCAAATGGGGTGGCCATGAGCAGGGGTCAGATGGGCTTCCTGCCCTTCCCCTGCAGTGGGCTCTCAGCTGGCATTGTCACCCTGCTGGACTCTCTACCTGAGCACTCACTGTACCCTGGGAGCACAGCCCATTCACAGCCAGGCCTGGCTGCCAGCTCCAGTCCCTGCTAGGCCCCAGGTCTTAGGGCCTGAGGCTCCATCCCTCATCCTTGCAGGCTTTGGGAGCTCAGCTAACTCACAGGGTAAGGGTCTTGCTTAGGAACAAACACACATCCAACTCATCCTTCCCTCAGTGTCAAGAAGGGGAGCTTGCTAAGCATATATTCTGATGAATATTTATTCTTGGAAGTGAGAATTGTGGGGGGCCCAGAGAGAGAGAAGTGTAGCTAAAGCTTGGGAGCCCCTGAAGAATGAGCTGAATCAAGTAAGGGACCAGACTGAAGAGAAAGGACTGGATTGTTTATATTTTTTGAGACAGAGTCTTGCTCTATTGCCCCAGGCTAAAGTGCCATGGCATCAGCCTAGCTAATAGCAACCTCAAACTCCTGGGCTCAAGCAATCCTCCTGCCTTGGCTTTCTGAGTAGCTGGGACTACAGGTGCCTGCCACGATGCCCAGCTAATTTGTTTCTAATTTTAGTAGAGAGATGGGGTTTCACACTTGCTCAGGCTGGTCTTGAACTCCTGAGCTCAAATGATCATCCTTCCTCAGCTTCCCAGAGTGCTAGGATTATATAGGCATTAGCTATGGCATCCAGCCCAGACTGGACTTTTAAAATGGTCATGTACAATTCCAGAGGATGGGTGCTGCAGAAGGCCAGCCTTGCCTCTATTCCTGGCAACTTGACCAGGATGTTTGGGAACAGACACTGACCCAGATGGGAGTGGCCACCAGGAACACATCCAGTGGGCTGTAGGCTGGGCAGACTGCCTCCCACCTGGCACTCTCTTGTGTCCTTGGCCTTGAAGGGGCTGTTCACAATGTGCTAGGGGCCAATGTACTCGATGGCAATGAGGTAGCTGCCTTGGACATGGGAGTATAAGTGACCACGTGGCCCTCAGGATACTCCCAACAGTCCAGCAGCACCTTCAAGGGGTGGTCGAATGGTGACAGATGACACACCTGGGGGCCAGAGGAACCAAGACTGTAGGCAACAAGGGCAAGGGTTTGTGGCCCAGAGTGAGGCCTGGCCCCCAGATCCCTAGGCAGTCTCTGCTAGGATTCCGAGTGTAGGAGTACCACCCTGCCTCCAACACAAGGCAGTTCCTGGACTACTGGCTGAGCATCCCCAAAGGCTCCCCTGCTCCCCAGCCCCAGGGGTACTCACCAGTAGTGCCTCCTTCAAGCCCAGGGCCATAATCCTGGTCCCCAGCCTGGCTCTGCTCCCCAACACAGATCTTGAAGGGGCTTCCAAGGGTGTGGGCACCACTGAACTTGACATCAATTGAGTGGACACTGTTCTCATGGGGGATGAAGCAGATAGTATTCTTGTCTGTGGGAAGATGGCTGGGGGTGAGCCTCCATCATTCCCCTCCCCTTTCAGAAGGTCCTGCTATGGCAGGGGGTGGGCAGGCAGGGCCAGCTCACCACTGTCCAGCTCGGAGACGTAGCATTCCTCCACAGCTCCCAAGGGCATGTGAGCCTCCATCCTTCCCTTCCCCTTCCCAGAAGATCCTGGCATGGCAGGATGGGCCAGCTCACCCCTGTCCAGCTTGGAGATATAGCACTCCTCCACGACTCCCAAGGCGGGTGTATCCTGGCATCTATCACCCTGCGTACCCCATTCATCTGCATCACAAAGGACACTGGATGGTTCACTATGAGCCCTGCCTCCTGCAAAGGCCACTGAGATGCTCAGCCTCCTGGGAGGGCCCAGTCTACAGTGGTCTTTGTGGGGCAAAGTAGTAAGCCCAGCCATGCTGGGCTCTCATAGTAAGCCCAGCCCAAAGGCTCCCATGCCCCATCCCCAGCCTGGGCCCTGCCTGCCAGCACTCAAAGCGTTCATCCTCCCAGGATCTCAAAGCCAATGGCCAGAATTAGTGGGAAGATGTCAGCCAGGGAGCCATCTCTGCAGAACCCTAGAAGGAGCCAGGAGCTGATCTGATACCCCTGTGTTCATGGGCTATGCTGGGTTCCTACACTCATGGTGAGAGATAATGCCTCCTGCCCTGGCTGAGGAAGGAAGGACCAACCCTGTGTAAAGCAGGCTGATGGGGGGGGGCCAGTGCCTGAAAGGGCTGTGTGGGCCTCGGGTGCTCCCAGGTGGGAAGGTGCATGGGGGGGGGGGGACTGGCCTGGGAGGGCTTCCTAGAGTAGGTG